AGCTATAAAGTACCTCAACATGAACTCAGTATATAGTAGCAACAGCTGGTTTTCAGTGACTTAACTTAGAAGTGAACATGATGTGAAGTAAACTTTTGCTAAGCCACCTCATTCCCATAGTGCTGGTGTAATTCTGTAAGTCTCAGACGTTACGTCTGAAGCTTCGCCCTTTCGGTTACTGTTACTCACGTGTGCTTTAAATGATAAAACTGTTCGATATCTACCGGTTGGTAGTTGCTGTATTATGTAACTACAGGTATTATCAATTACTATGTAATACTCTGTTTCCAGTAATGCAAACGCTTGTAATTACTTGAATAAGTTTTATTTGAACTATGGATACTTTTTTTACACGTAAGGAATATTTAAATGGAAACCTGATTGCATTTTCTGCTAAATCTAAGCTTAACTCTTGGCCCATGTACAAATCCAAAGCTGTCTTATCCCCGCTGACTTGGTTGTTTTTCTACATTCAGAATGTAACCTCTTGTTACATACTTCTGCATGGTTGAATATTTTTTATCCTTTTGTAGTCCGTTTCCTTTCCATCTCAGCGCTGCTCTTGGGTCTGAATTTTAACCAATGTAATCTGCGTTATATACTGTCCTAAACTATAGTGTGGGCAGACAGATGAAATAGCAGTAAATTGTCTTAATTTTTCTTTGAAGCACTACAGTACTTTCTTTTTGAGTCTATTTAAATAGTTGTGCCATGAAATGCATCTTATACAGCCACTCTGGATAAGCAATATATTGTACTGTAAATATAGCAATTGCTGTCCTAACTTGGAGTTAATATGTCTGGATGGTAACTAGTGCCTGTCTAATACAAATTGGAAAAGAGCCTAGGCCTTCATCCTACGGTGCTGTTTCAGAAGAAATCTTTCCTATTTTAATTCTGGAAAATTGTGAAATTGTGGACAAAATGTTGCTATGCTGCATTGAGATCCAGTGATTTTTTTTTTTGTTTCTCTACAAAGGATGTCCATAAAACTCATTGGTTTTGGTTTTCAATGTAATTGTAAATATGTGAAACTGTATGTGTCTTTGTGTCTGAAACTAAATTCAATGTGGTGATAGTATGGGCTGAGAGGGAGGGAGAGGCTATGCAACAAGATGCCACTAGTATTCCCTGAGCGAAACCCACCGCAAATGAGCGAAGTGTGTGAATTGCAGCCTGGCTGAGGTGTCCCAAATGAGTGACAAGTCATGGGATTGGCATCAGCCTCACAAGTGAATGACTGAATAAATGCAATAAAAGGCTAATAGACAACACTATTACTCTGTTCATCACTTTGATTACAGATTTTTTCTTTTTGTTATAAAGTTGAGTATATGCATTATGTAATTTGTAAAATGATGCTGTAGTGGAGACCTTGCTACAACACTATTAAAAATCTTCCCTTTTTGTGAGATAAAAGGTTTGTAGAATAGTGAGATTCTTTCGTATGTTGAATCTTAATCTGTTCCTGATGGTGGGAGTGCTGAAGTAATGTATCTCACTGTGATCTGGTACTTCGGTATTTGCATAAAATGGCAGTTCTGTATAATTCTTTTGACTAACTGTAAATATAAATGTTTCATATTAGCATAGTTAAATTTCTGAGGTACAGCCATTTGTGTGAGATTAGAAAAAACAACTTTATTTCTAAGAACTTGTAAAAAAAATATTTTCAATAAAATTCCCTACCTCACCTCTATTGTGCAGAAATTATCCCATTTTCCTACGTTTGATTTTTCCAACTTCATTTATAAACACAAAGAACATCCCTTTTCAGTTACTGGCAAAACAGTGCTGTTTTCCATCAAATCAAACCAATGGTGGAATGCTTGGAAGTCTGAAGTCTGTTTCCTTTACCTTAGGCTAATCAGGTATTTGATACCTGAAAAGCAAATTCTAGAAATGTTATGCCATTGTAAGCTGCTCCCTCATTCTACCCTGGGGTTGAGAGCCTGTGCCCTTAATTTTATTGTATGTTGGCTGGCCATGCTTGATTTTTTTTTTTTTTTTATTATTATTTTTTTCTTCTTAGCAGTGGGGGGGAAGGGGGGAGGGGGTGGGTGACAAGAGCATACTAAAGGATCTTTATAAAACTGGGGGGAAAAGTTCCCAATCCTTGCTTTGCAGGAAAGTGGCTTGAGCAAACACTTTGTTTGCTTTCTTTAATTGGGATGTAAATGCACATTCCCATAATCAGTTCTAAAAATAAATGTCTTTAAAAACTTAGAAGTTAGGCCAAAGTGAATTAGCTAATTAATTCCTCCTTTCTCTGAAATACTTAATTCCTTACATCTTTAAAAAACTACATCATTAATGCCAGAAGTGTTCTCTCGTGTTGTTACTGGGACTGACTTTCTCTGGCTTCTCAGGTAGATACAGCAAACCCAAATCAAGTTTTTAATCTTGCCAGTTTCAGTACTTGGGTTTGATTCCTCTATATTCCTGTGCTTATGACACCATTTTTTACCGTTTTTTTTACCTTAGTTCAGAGGTTGTGTTCTTTGACAACAGCTGTAAACTTCACTCTGAAGCTGTCTCGGGGTGCACGTCCCCGTGGGAAGTAGGGGAGAGAAGGCATTCTGCTGTGTGTGCTGTGAGACTTTCCTCAGGAGAACTCAGTTTTCACTTAAGAGGGTTGTGGAAAATGGCATCGGTTCCTGCTGAACTTTGTGAAAAAGCACTGATTTTGAACCCAGATAATCTCAAAAGGCTGGGTTTTCTGGGCTTACTGTCTGCTTCCTTGAGAAAAAAAGGTTGATGCATGTAATGCGAGATGCCAATGTTTGCGTCCTATTGCTGTAGTTTCAAGACCAGTGCAAGATGGCTGGGTAGGCATGTCTAAGAACCTTCCCTTTTCCTGAGATTTGAGCAATAGCTCAGAGCTTTAGATATTATTGCATAAAGGAAATGCTAGGTATCCCCTATAATGAGAGAAGTACAGCATAGTTTCAGGTTCTCAAATTTAACCGCCAAATCTGGAGGAAACTTGGCATCAGAGCAAAGTGGTCATATCTACTACTTGGCAGCCTCCATACTTTGTAATGGGTTCTTCACTGGTTTTAGAAATGAAGATACTCTTTTTTTTTTTTTTTCTTTTCTTTCTTCCTTTCTTAAAAAAAAAAAAAACAAAAAAAAAAACACAAAAACAAACAAAAAAAAAACAACAGTAAGCCTTGCCCTGCTCAAGTACTACTAATAATTAAGCAAGTGTGACCCTGCTCACTAAGTCACTTTTCATTGAAAATAAAGGTTTTCAAGAAGGTTTTTAAAGTTTCTCACCCTTTCCCTTATTACATTAGATAGCTTGCTACAGGTATCTAAATTATCTGGACTTTGATGTGGAAATTTATGATCTCATCAAGTAAGAAATATGCAAAGTTAGACTTATTTATGTAATGTTCTACTAGCCTGGACTCAGCCGAGCAACCCAAGGCACCCAAACCCAGCGCAGTGCGTGGTTCGGCTGTGCTGAGCACAGGGCTGGGATGCAGTCGCAGCACCGCTGTTCTCAGCGTGATTATGCTGAGATAGCTTTGTTGCAAGTGCTAGCCTTAAACCACTTAAACACCAGTCTCTAAATCTGGTTAACAAAAGCAAAAACATGCTTTCACGTTTTGATTAAGACCTCAGCATGAAGTTTTACAAACCTTTGAACTGGTGTCTAATTTTAGTAGCATTAGCTGGATTAACCATTATATTTAAATTGCAAATAACTAATAACCTTAATATGGGAGAACTCAGACTTTAGCAAAAGATGTTAGTTTTGTTTATGACACGTGTAGGGAGGGGGTTTTGTAATTCTGACATTTTAAAATTAAGTGTATATCCTAGCACACACCCATCGTTTCCCGGTTTATGAGCATCTTCTCAGTTTCATTTCATGCTAAATAAAACCTCATATTTACTTTGCAGCTTTGTTGGAGACGCTACCTTAATCTGAGGAGAATTAATATACATCATGGAATTATGTACATCCCACCTGATTTCATATGCCAGGGCTCCTATTTTTATTCTGCAAGGTACTTTAATGTGAAGTTACTTTAACATGAAGTTGCCATGGATTTTTGTTAAGAAGATGAACAGGTATTCCTCAAAATGGGATTGTTAACTGTTTGAACTTTGAAAATTTCTGTGATGTTAGGATTTCTCTTATACTGGCATAATGTTCTGTCATTGTTATGTGACATACCTACAGAAACTATTAATAAAGACTTTTGCTAGAAGTACTGATCTCTCTTTGCTTTTATAAAGATTAGACTGACTCTCTGAAGTCAGGCTACTGGAATAAAATAAAGTTCGAAAGCTATTTAAGTAATTCAAATGTTTAGTGCTCTGAGGAAAATTGATTTTATATAAAACTTAGAACTTCCTTCTTTCCCTTTTGTAAAACACTTAATTTTCCTATTACTGCTGGCACTAAACTCAGGATCTTAAATTCTTGAGAGCTCAGCCCTTAACGGGTGTAGGGCTGAGTTTTGCTGCATCTCTTCCTGAAGCCTAGGTGCTCACAAAGGCATAAGGTTCACCACATTTTGATGTGAAACCTATTTTTGGTTTCTACACTTCCACATTCCCCTGAAATTTTAAATTTTAAAAAAGACTCAAGAAGAATCCTTGTCAGAAAGAGGGCAAGCTAAATACTAATCCTTGATTTATTTCATTTGTTTTATTAATATATAATAACGTTCTTCAAATTTTTTTTAATTTTGTGCAGTTAGGAGTAGCTACTTATAGTAACTGTGAAAAAATATTTTTTCCAGGGCAGATGGAGACTGTTACATGCCATCTAATTACATATTGCTCACTGAAGGGTTTCTCAAAACAGTTCAAGTTTCAGTATCAAATTTACTGTTCTATTTCAGATTCAGGATATGGGAAAATAGCAGTAGACTGTCTTGTGAGTCAAACAGCATTTTACAGCCTTTGCAAACAAGAAGGAGGTAATGCTCCTACGTTTTTGCCATGCCATATCAGCCAACACAAGGGTGAGAATTACTTCACTTAGCTTAATAAAGATGCGCATGTGTACACCTGGGCATCTCGTCATGACCAGCATGGTAGCTCATAATGATACAGGACCTCAGTAACAAAGGACTGATATGTGTATACAAAATCTTTTTCACCAGCTAAAAATTAAAGGGCTCATCTAACTAAATAAAAGCTTCAGTACGTTTTATGCCAATATAGTTACATGGTTTGCGGTACCTATGGGATCATCACAGGCACAATTAGTGGCTCAGCTACAAGTCTGAGTAGAGCTTCCTGCAGAGCTTTCACAGCGCTTTCCACATCTGCCATGCTCTTGGCCAACAGCATACATCCAGAAGTCATTACAGATGAAATGGCAGTCCAACTTACATTGCCTGTCACATAGTGGTGATGGTGATGTGTGTTTTTTAATCTTGTAGTCTCTCCAGCTACAACAAAACATGGCCCTGTGTTCACGGTGAAGGAATGCCCACTCCGATGAGCACAGACATTGCAAAAAATGTTACTTTACTCATACTGCTGTCTAATAATAGACTTCTTGTACACAACTGCTCTCTAGTAATTTCTCCTGTTGGTTTTAAGTCCAGTTCCTTCTGGTCTTTTTTCACAAGTGGAAGATTTTTATATGGAAAATGTATGCTCATTTGGCAAGAGTTTTGAAAACTTCACTGTCTTCCTTTCACAAAAGGATGGTCCAGCAACTGCAGAGCAGAAGGGCGTTCATGTTGGTCTCTGCATTGAGGGTTTGAAAAATCAGTACATAAAAGGAATATGCATGCCTGTGATATAATTGTTTGTAAAACCTAAATGTAAACTTAGCTTTTTTTTTTTTTTTCTTCATCTCTCCAGTCATTACTCATTTTTAGGTTTTTTTGATAAAACTGGTAGAGAGGAAGGCAGAATTTATGGGAAGACACTGTTGGAATTTATTCATTCTAAAACTGAAATATTTTATTATAATGGAAATGGCTCCTTATTCCTCTAAATTCCCTGCAAAACTTCTAATAATTCTGCTTATGTGGCTGTTTCAGGTGCATCTAAAATATATTTAAGGAGGGTGACAATTATTTGTTTGATCCTGCGTCAGTCAGGCTGTTCTTTCATCTCCAATCAATGTCATGCATGTTAAAGACACCATATAGAATTATAGTACTGTAATTACAATATTTCCTTGCTAGAGCCAAGGGTTTTTTCAACCCTCAACTTGGAGGAAAAAACAGGGGAAGGAGTAAAGGAGACTGATTTCTTAAATAATAAACTAATGGGGAAGATGGGATAAGGGAAGCATTCGTGTTTTGGACATGGTGAGATTATACATTAAAACTTTGCCACTACAAGTGCATCTTGGCTTTTGAAAAAGTAAATAATTCTTTGAAAAAGGAAATGCTTTATATCTGTATGTTTCCTTCTGCCTAACAATTCCTTCTATGTTTTAAACACCATTCTCTCCGAATCAAAGTATATGTAACATTGCTATATACAGTCCACATTTTTTCTGGTTATTGTTAAATGGTCCACGGGAACCATAACCATACCATACCAAATCTCATCCAGGAATTAGAAATCAGGTTTCCTGCCTCCAAGACCACTGCCATACTCACTAAATAACATGCTTCTCTCTACTGCTCAAATCTGGTCTTTAGAGATATGTAGAAAGCTGATATTAATTTTATAGAGACTACCTACAGCAGTCAAGAATTTAGCTCTTGAAATTGATAGTCCATTTAAACATCTGGAACAAAGCTGATATTTAAAACAAAACAAACACCACAAAAATAATTCTTATAATGGGTGAATGCTAGTGTTTTGGGTTTTTTATAGAAAGAATTTTATGTTTCGATTATGTATTTCCTGGACTAGCAGGAATAATAGATTTTTCTACAGCAGAAGAATTAAATGAAAGGTTAGAATATCGTCCTCAAAACAACTTGCCTGACATAGGTCACACTCAGCCAATGTGATATTAGAACAGAAAAGCACATCAAAGAAATTTATCAAACATTTTGTCTTAAACTCAATGCTGCCATGTTTCTACGTGAAAAATACAGGGAAAGTAAACAACGAATAGAAGGCCTACAAAAACAGAGTCTGTGAGGTGGGGGTTTTTATACCATTATAGAGAGTAAAGCTCTTTTATGTATGCTATTATTGAAAGGCTTTTCTAAAATATTGAAAACCTGTGCATTTACAGTACAGTCACATGTGCCATGTAAGAGGTAACCTAAGCTCCCATCAGCAATCTCTATGATACAAACTACCTGCATTTTTCTTTTAATTTTTCAGTTAAAAATCTACATACCTGGTTAAGCATGCGTGCACAAAATCCACTGCAGTGCTGGAGAATCGATCAGGTAGGGAAGGCATCAGTCCTCTGTGAGCCCCAATATAGAACATGGCTGCTATCCTATCCATGGAAGCCAGCGGTGGTTTTCCTGTTGCCATCTCAAATACGGTGCAACCAATGCTCCAGATGTCTGATTTTCTTCCATATCCAGATTCATTTATAACTTCTGGTGCCATCCAGTATGGAGTCCCGTGCACAGACTTGAGCATCTCGCTCTGTGTGCCGCTGAGGCTAACCCAAGCTAAACGCCTGGCACAGCCAAAGTCAATTAGCTTTACTATACCATTTGGCATGAGCATAACATTATTGCCTTTGATATCTCTATGTACCACACAATTGTCATGTAAATATGCAACCCCTTGTAGAATTTGTTTTGTGTATTTACAAAGGACAATTTCTGGCAATGGACCAAAACGATTAATGATGCTAGAAATTGAGCCACCAGGAACAAACTCCATGAAAATGCTTAAAATGTTGTCTTCCAGACAAGTTCCTAAATAAGTTACAATATTGGTGTGCTTCAGTGTCTTCAAAAGATCAACTTCCTCATGTAACTTCTGATATTCCTTTTCTGTAGTGAGTTGATCTGATGTAGCCAAAACAACCTGTTTTACAGCTATTAATTGTCCCTGGCTTGTCAGACCGCAGTACACCTACAATGAAACTATCATTTACTGAAACGAAACATGAAATAAAACTATTTACTTATTTTAAATAGTGTCTTTATGTTCGTCATGTTTCATGTCTCATTGTATAACCCAAAATATTTAAGTCATTTGTTGAATAGGACAACAGACAGTTATAAGGTAAGATGTAGCTCAAAGACAAACTGCGCATTTCTTGAGATATTCAGACATTAACTTACCGTGCCATAGGCCCCCTTTCCAAGAACTTCACCTCTTGTCCACATGATAGGATCTTTGTTAGTTAAACTGCTTCCCATTTTAGTAGATTCCTCAAATTTTAGCAGGTCACTTTCTTCATTTGTTACCAAAAAGGCTTTACTGTAACTCTGCTTGAAAGATGACGGTCAGCGTAGGGAGAAAGCAGGGAGGAAAATAAAGTCTTCATATTATTCTTACATTTTTTATAAGGAGTAATTTTTACCTGACATGACTCTTCTCTATGGATTAATATATGTATACACCCACTCATTACCCAGCTCATCGATAGTTGCTATACTAAGCAAGACTATGTAAATATTTTCAAATATATATCACAATAGTGCATAATCAAAAGATTATAGCATGAGACCTTTTCCATTGACAGGAAGCCAGACAGAAGGAACACTTGAAAGAACAGGATATACATCTGCTTACTACTTTTTTTTGTCACGTAGCTACAGTTTGATAAGATGAAGAGTGAGGATGACTATCGCCTTGCTCTAGGTAACATATGTAACCCAAGTCTGATGAAAACAAATTGGACATGACTTCACAGGAGGAAGAGACTGCTTCAGAAAGATGGTAATAATTACTCCATCTAGCCATGGATCTCCCTAGGAGAAGTGAGAATAGAGGTATAACTGGCACCTGTGCCTGCAGAAGCATAAGGAAGTGTATCAGCATGTGGTGAAAGAAATTTCCTTATAAGTGTATAATTTAAATAGACAAAACGCTAACAGGGTCAAGGAGAAGCAGTATTGGTAGATAGGCACCTTAGTAGTGAAGGTTCTTAACTGACTTGGGGACCAGGATCTAAGCCTTCTCAGCTTAAAGTTTTGATTAAACATTAACTAAACAACCTTACATCTGTCTGAGAAGCCAATACTTGTAGTTCATACCTAGAACAGTATCTGGTTGCACTCAAACAATCAAGGAAATTGCCCTTTGGATATACATGAACCATTTGTGGTGTCTTTTCATATTCCTTAGGTGTCAAGATCCCAAGAGCTGTTGCCTTGCTCCAGTACCTTTTTACACGTGCTCTTTGGTTAAAATAGCCTCTCCTTTTTATTCACTACAATTTCACAATTTATCTTGACCCATCATATATGCCTTAATAGCTATTCCTGTCACGCCTTCGTACCATTTGACTTGTGTCCTGACATGCAGCCACTAACATGGGTATCCTCAACTGAGCACTGGAAGAATCAGTGGGCAGCTGGCCCAAGAAAAAGAGACTTGATCATTAACGAGTACGTTTCCTACCTTTCATCCAAACTTGTGCTGAAGTATCACTCAAAGGAGCTAGCAAGGTACAAGAAAGTATTTTTACCTTCTCTAGAGGACTATTTACTATTGCTCCATCTCCATTCATTATATTTTCTTCTTCTTTAGTATGTGTATTTTGCATTTCAGAACCTGTATTTTTTGTTCTTGAAGCGTTGATGTCTTTTTCTTCAAGCATTATCAATTCTTTGGCCAGACAACAAAGCAACTCATCAGTCACATCCTTATTATCTGCCCAGGAAAAAATGTTTTGGCTTGTCTGGCAACTGGGGTTTGTAACATTTTTTGTCAGAATCACTGAAGGCTGAGGCACTTCTTTTGCCAAACCACTGTTTGGAGGTGTGTATGCCCAACTGTGATTTAGTATTTTTGTAGGGGTCTGACACTCCAGTCTATCTGAAAAGGGCAATGCTTCACATTTATTTATAGACTTGAAGGAGGCGTGGTCTGATTCCAGACCTTTGCAGCAATCCATATCCACCTTGCACTGGGGTATACAAATGTTCTTCTCCGTTGTTAGTAGGCTGCCACTTAGAGTAACACACTCTCTGTAGTCTTTATCACTGAACTGAAGAAGATTGTGACTACAGGTAGCAGCTCTTTGATGGTTGGATATATCTTGACTGTCTAAAGACTGCTCCAAAGAAACTTCTTTAATAGTTGACAAGTTTGAATATGGAAAAAAATTATTTTGTTTAGTTGATTGTGAAAGCTCTTCTAAAACCTTAAGCTGATGAGCTGTGTCTTCATGAAACAACATCATGCTCCTTGAAGCATTTATCTGAAAATCTGAATCAGGAGTTACTACATTATTTTGCTCAGTGTTGCTGTTCCTCAGCTTGGTACTTCCATCCTTCGTAATTAAGCCTTTCTGCTTTTGTTTAGTGCCAGGAATGGTCTTCTTTGTCTTAGAATATGTTCTCTTTTGGCTATTTCTTACTCGGCTGCTCTCTCTCCCTTTACTGCAGGCAGATCTGCAGGTGCTAGCAGTGCACCTCCCAGATGGAGCAGAACAAACATCTCTATGAAATCTGTTCTCATGTTGATCAAGCTTACGCATGTGGGAGTAGACAGGAGTTCCAAACATTTCATAAATACCTGGGCCTTTGTCATTTGAACTTATTTTCTTGAACATGTCACTGTATTTCAGATCTACAAAATCTGAAGCAGACTGTGCATGAGGTAGAGAAATTGGAGTAACAGGTTTCTTTAAGACAGCTGAATTTTTGCAGCTGCAGGAGGCAATTTTCTTTTTAAGTTTCTGAGCACTCTGAGCAAAATGGTCTTTGTCTGCTTGAGGGGGGGGTTTTTGACGCTTCAGGGAAGTCTCAGATTCCATGTGTGGCAGTTCCAAAGACTTGGCACTATATTTTGTGGAAACCTCATCAGAAACAATTAAATCTTCAGATATCTTTATCTTACTACTCATTTTAGATTTTGATAAATATTTATTTCTATTCATCTTTATTTTACTTTTGTCATTTTCTTTGCGAGCAAGAATGTTAAAGCTTTGAGTAACATGGGGAGGCAGGCTACGAATGACACTCTTTTTTGTGGCAGGCTGTTTAGAAATGTGTGGTTCCCTAGCTGGTTCTTTTTCAGAGAATGTAACGTGAACAACAGGTACAATCTCACTTTGGCCTTTTGAAGTTGCTTCTTTCTCCATTTCTAATTCAGAGAGACAAATATTATTTTCTGTCTGTTTTCCAGAAGGATCTTGCTCTTCTACTCTGGGAAATACTGCAGCTACAGAATTATTTTCTAAGGCACTGTAGGCCTCCATCACTTCATTTCTACAGGAAGAAACCAAATCATGATTGTCAAGCACAAAGTTTGCACTCTCAGCATCTTCATGTGGTCTATAATCCACTATCATCTCTGTAGCATTTCCCTCTTCTAGACCAGTTCTGCAGCAATTCTCTACTCTTCTTTCCTTATTGCCAGCTTTTGAGGCGTCTCTGTTTCTTGACACTGTAAGTGTCTGAGCTGTAAATATTCCACAGTTCATCAGAGCATTCCTTGAGCTGAAGTAGGGATGACTATCATCATAGGAACTGGCTTGGGTCATGAGAGCTACATTCTTACAAACCACTGAAAACTGGTACTTCACCTGGTCATTCTTTTCAGTATCAGTAGCAACATCAGCTTCCCTCCTTTTAAAATTGCTTTGAATTTCTTCTTTCTTGTTGCTAGGGTACTTAAAATAGTTACTCATGCTGAAGTAGTACAGGTCTTTCGCTGGAGTGAATTTATCAGAAATAGTAGCCACAATTAGGTCTGATGACTTTTCAGCGTGCCTTTTAAATAGATTGTCTAACTTATACTGATAAAATGTAGTAACTGGTTTTATAGGCTGAGGAATGGAGTTAATATTATTCAAAATATTTCTGATGTTGGTGCTTCCATTGACAATGTCATCCTCTAGAGGAGCAAGATGAATTGTTCTTACAGGCTGAAATGTCACTGGTAGCAAATTAAACTGTAATTGCCATAAAAACCATTAATAATGTGCTACACAACAGATACAGGTAAAGTATAATCACTAAGAATCAAGTAGACTAAGAAAAAAATCATAAATGGATTATTCTTGTATATATTACTATATTTAACCTAATATGAAGTGTAATATCAAACCCCTAAGAAAATACATTAATTTTCTCACATCCATACATTAATTTTCTCACATCTAAAATTATTTCTAGGTATTGCATAGTACAGAAAGTGGGATCCTTTGGCATAAGTCGCAAGTCATTCTCCATGATTTAAAAATAATAAGCTTTGTCCACACATACAAATTATCTCGTCAGTTATTAACTATGTCTTATGACACATAACGTTTGCTACAGAAATTCAAAGGCTTGTCAGTGGCTTTATGTGCCAAAATTTCTTTCTTGCTGTGCACTCTCACTGAATGAGCACACCACTGTTACGCTGATATTCAAGTCTTTTTATGTAACCCTCCAAAGTTTGCTGACGCTAGTAATTATATTCCAAACGGAACTAGATCACATGTAAACAATTTCTAAAAGCAAAATCTAGATTATTATAACAGAATGCTGTTTTATCCATGGAGAAAACAGTTGTTACAAAATATTTACAAGTTTTAAAAGACATTATTATAAATCTAAACATACAGATCTTCCACATGTTTAGTGTAGTTTTATGAAATTCCATAAGCCATTTTACATGGGCCACGGATTTAGCTCACAGAATTGTAAGTACACTGGAAGATAGCACAGTCTGCACTTCACTTTGAGTGAAGTTAAATGGATAGCTTCCCAAAGGCCATTTTTATATGGCAGCTAACACGGAAGTCTGGTGTGGGGGAGATGTATTTTATTCCTTCCTTCTTCCTTCTCTTTCCATCCCTTTAGTTCAAATCTTTGAAAGAGTACAGACCTGAGAATTGAGTACTTTGTTGTGAAATTTTCTGAATTTATTCTGAATTTTCTGAAATAATTTTTTGGAAATAATATTTCTGTTCATTTTATAGGAAATGTAGAAGAAATAAGCTTTAATATACTGTATATTTTTATGCAAATGAATGCAATAGAAATAATCACACAGTCATATGCTCTGAGTACTCATTTGCATGTCTATATTCAACATCAGTTTGCAATCTGCAGGAAATTTTTGTTTGCATTCCAAGAGCAAACTGAGGTTTGAATGTGCCAGGAAAAGCAATGTGTGCTGGTTTGAAATTTACAGTTCTGAAGGTTTTGCCTAGTCTGCATGGCATTAATATAAATGCTCAGTTTATCCTGAATTATATGCCTCTACAAATCATCAGAGCCTAAGACATGAAATAAAGATGTATTAAATCAGCTAAGGTCAGCTAAATTATTCTCCTCAAACATTTCCGTCCATTTGAAATGTTTTTTTCCATGGCCCTTTTTACGATCTTCTGTCAGAACTCTTGCTATTACCATTCTTTATTTTTTTCCTGTGAATGCTGTTGTATTCTGTAGTGGGTTCACTGCAGTATGCAGCTGATTCAATGTGTCAAGTCTTTTGTACAAAGGGCTATTAATTAATATTCATAAAGACCAAATTATCTTTTTTTTCTAAATACAGTATATTTGATCTTTTGTAACTTTTAATGTTCATGTGGTATGAAGCACTCATACATGTAAAATTGCTAACTTCTTTGTAAGTACAAAAGTTTTGTCAGGAATCCTTTTTACACTTACTACAAAATTTCATGTCCAATATGTTTAATCCTCAGATCTTATTTTTTATTTGCTAACACAATAAATTTCAGCAATCCTCTAATATCAAGATTGTTCCTCAATTCAGCTTCAACTTTAAATTACCACTCAATACAAGAAAATTGTCTCCTTAAATTTGGCAAAACTAGACATCTAACATATTTAACATATAGGATGCACATACCTTAAATTAACTCACATATTTCTATTTTAAAAGGTTTTATATTTGAACTTCCAATCCTTTACTCCCCCAAATCCCTGACATAACACCTTGCTGACAAATTGTTGATAAACATCTGAAGATTTGCTGACACACACATATATAAAATATATGTAAAAATACTTCAAGTTCATTCAAAAACCTGAAGACTAAGCAGAAGAAACTACAGACACTTCTTCTGTATTTCTATTTTGAAGGTTTTGAAAGCATATAATACTTTCAATGATCAGTTTTATACATAGTATCCTCTTACCTCAGATCTCTTGTTCCTGTTTTTTAGCATTGTTTTATTTAACCCTTAAAAATCAAAACAAATTAAATGTTAATTTAATATTCTTAAATGGACTACAATTTTCATTTATAAATTAATTTCAATCTGTAGACTTCTGGGGACCAAGAATCTGTCTAATTATGTGGTTGCAGCACTATGCTATAAATCAGTTATGCAGAAAAAAGTTGTAAGTTGAAATTTAATTATGGTACTGAACTTCACAGTTCCATTTTCTATAGAAAACTATAAAATATGATAATTTAAAAATATTTTTTACTCTAATAATTTTAGCAAATATTTCCCCTCAATTTCAGATGTTTGCTATTTTCAATATGTGGCTAATTAATATTGCCAGTATGAGGAAAAAAGTGGAAGAGATGCCATCGTGGCCTCACTCCAGCTACAGAGAATTTGTGGGCTCAGTTTCATGATACAGAGTAACAGGAATGGTGAAGTCTGTCACTGCTTCTCTATCTATCTCCTTCATTCTGCAAATGCACACAGACATATAATTAAAGAAGAGGGTCAACATGACTGAAGTCCACTTTACATGAAGAAGACGGACATAAAGACAAAGTTTAAAGAAAAGGGACTTCTAAGGCTTTGCTGTCTAGTTTGATAAGCAATATATAACTTTATTTTAAAATTGTGACTTAAAATTGAACTTACTTTGTTGTATTTGTGCTTTTATTATCTGAAAAGCATGTAAATCCATAAATGATTTTGAAGTGTTAGATTCTGGGCATGAGGCCTGTAGCAAAAAGCTGAAGTCAAAGCCATGCCCTACGTTCTCTTTCTTCAGGAAGAAAGGCAAAGAAGTGTGATGTCTCATCTGTAATGCTAACTGATTTTTACTTGGAAAACATGCCACTTGTTGATCTGGCCACACTCTGGATGTTGGTGGTATTGGGCTAAAAGGCAAAAACAAAACAAAACAAAACACAACACAATGTGAAAATAAGTGGAAGGAGCCTACTCAGTTCAAATAGTCATATGACTGGAGAATAATGTGAACAAGAAGTTTGTGAGATCCAAGAATGCCAAAGTATGTTTTCTTTCTTCATCCATCTGGGAAATTGTGGCTCTCCTTGGAAGCATCTGATTGCAATGCCAGAGACTGACTACAAGTGAGAATGAATGACAAACAACATAAAACAAGCAACAGCAGGAATGGAAAAACACATTGTCTACCTTGCCCTTCTTGACAAAAACTGATTGCTTCCAGTATGTATTTTTTATGAATCATCATGAAAGGGTGTCAGAAGTATTCTGAAGATCAGATGTGCCTTTGTTATTTATAAAGTATGCTATGGCCTGCCTGAAAGAATAGAGGCTGTGTGGACAAGCCTCAGATTTCTGCCACCTGCTTTCTGAAGAAGGAAAAATCCAAATACGGAAAAAGATAAATACTGTGACTGGAAAGAGGTAGAAAAATATAATCTAAATTAATCTTAAAGCTGTATGGTATATAATTGTCTATTTTTGATAAGACAAATGATGATGTAAAACCACATACCATATGTTTTTTCATATCGTACCTAATAAATTTTTAATCTGGTGCAATATCCTGCCTCCAGCAATGGCCAATAATTGATGTTGGGAATATAGAAACACTACACATCATATAGCTGTATATAACATCTGGCACTATGAATTCTTACTCACAGACTACTACCTGCTTTGTCTCCATTTTTACATACACAACTGTAAGTTAAATATTAATACTAACCTGTTTTTTCCTAGAGCTTTGTATGACTGTTGCATTTCTTTCATTGTCTTATCTGCATTCTGAAGAGCAACACTTCCACAACCTGCAACAATACATTAGTATTTGCATAAGAACAATATAATTCACTGACCAGTAACACAATGCAAATGCAGTTATTTTTGGACATTAAAATATTATTATAAAGAAATACAGGAAGTAACAGAAAAAAAAAAAAAAAAAAGAGCACGTTTCATTTGACTAAGATACCTATAGATACTTCTTGTCAGAATTTTTGGAAATGTGAATGCATAAATCCAAATTATTTTTAGTTATTTAGGTAAGTGTATTCATTCAATGTACCACAAAAGCAAAGAACATCTAAAAAAAGAAATATCCAGTTACAGCTCCTATTTCAGTAGAACAGAAATGTAAGAAAAATATTGACAGAAAATCTACAAAGGTAGACCATTTAAAAATAGGAAACCTATCAAAACCAAAACAAATCTCAGGGCTTCTCAAAGGTGGAAAATAACTCTGAGTTTGATTTCAAATTTTTTTTGTGGTTGCTTGGTTTTGACAAGTAGCCAGATTTACAATTAACATTGCCCTTTTTCTTCTTCAGATCCCACATTACATTTCATCCTTATAAACTTTAGTTAGAGTACCTTCTTTGCTTCTCCTCTTATTTTGTTTGTTGTCAGACATACTGTCCTTTGATGTATTAAGGTCCAGAAACCTGAAAAAATGTTTAATTAGTTGATTTCCAATTCACATGTACAAAGCAGTACTTTGTATTTCATTATTTCAGAGCCGTAAGTAGGACAAAAGAAACATTGTAAAAGGACTTGAAACTATTAAAAATGTTATAATTTAACTTAACACCCAATGCCCTGTCCTGCAAATACAGAGAACCAGACAGTCCAGACACAGATTTTATTGTGAAAAGCTCAACATATATTATGCTGAATAAGATGTGAAAGCTGTCAGTATTATTTTGTTGATATTATCCTCACTGTTGGACCAGAAAGTCAACACCACATTTAGGAGATAACCACATTTTTAACATATTACTGAGAAACCAAATCTGAATTAAATTTATATCTTTCTCTACTTGGACAAAACTATCTCTCAGCAAAAGAGGAGCAACATCTAAAACTTTCTGAACACAGAAAAACTTGTACACTGCAGCCTCAACAAATCTCTTTGATGGCTTATTCCAAAGAAATGGGAAGTCAACTGGAATCTTTCTATGTATTTCTGAGAAGTAATTTATTTTGTAAATAATTTTTAAGTATCTTGAGAAGTAAATGTTCCATAACACGGTCTAGTTTTAAACATATGTTCAAAATTTAGCTGGGCATTTTTCTCTACAGAGCCAGTGTGTCAGAGTGATTTGACTGAAAACGTTAACAAAAATCTGATTGACATCAACAAGGTATAAATTTAATGCTTTATCTCAGACCTATTATAAATTCATAAATACATGAATGGCAATGTATTATCTCTGAATATTTACAAAGGCAAATTTTGTAGGTGTTTAAAGTTTGTACATCTAACTAGCCATTATATTATTGCCTTTTCTGTTGCTATTGAAATTCTGTGACCTCTCCCAGGCATCTGATTGAATTTGTTATAATCAAGAGTCACCAGCCGAGACAGAGTTAGGCTATTAACTTACTACTAGTAAATCTTTGTTTCTCAATTAAAACTATTGTACTGTCAGAAATACTATCTTAACCATGAGTGCACCTTTCTGTGAGCATGTTAGTACTTCCATATGTTTAGAAAAATATATTATTCAAATTGAACTAAATTTATAAAACCAAAACACCTTAAAGCTTACATTAAATTAGTATTACTAACATTTGATATTTTAACTCTTGGTTGTTGAGACATAACAGTAGCTCAAGAAAATGAGTAACAGCTATCCACGTACCATCTGTAGTCTGGCACTGTAAACTGCTGGCCTTCTATGAGGGTACATAAGCTTTCTGCACCTATGAGAGAGGCTTAAAAGAGATTGCCATCAGAATTACTAATTAACGTTTTGATATCTTTAGAGATCAATTTGCCAACCTTGAATCATTCCATATAGATATTAACTCATTCATTCATAATTGCTTGCATATTCAGAGTTATGCTTTTGCAGTATTACTAAATTCAGGCAGAAACAGAAGTGAGAGTAATGTTCATTGTAACTACTCGTGCCTTGTATTTTCAGTTTAGCATAATAGAATTTTCAAGGAGATCTACAAGCCCACAACAGCAAAGTCCAACAATTCGAACATTTGAAAAAGCTTGCCTCAGGAAATTAAAAGAGCAAGTATTTTCTCTCTTTTTACATTTATTTTCTACACCTTATGTTAACAATTGTATGCACAAGTAACAGTAGACAGCTACGTGCTCGTTCAAATCGACAGCAAAGTCATAGTCTACAAGGCAGGTTGTATGAAAGGAGTTTAGTTGCAGTGGAATTTAATACTACAGTTCTTTCAGAAAAAACATGCTTGGGAAAACTCAGACATCTGGTAGCCCTGTTACTGGCTTCAGTGAGACTGAGATTTCACAACAGTTCAGTTCTTAAAGCATAGACCTATGAGGCGGAATCCATAGATTATTTTTGATGCTTGCATCGATTTATAAAGCTATGTGAGCTCTGTAAATCTTTTTTAACATAGAAAGAAAACATGCTAATTATCTAAATATGTAAAGTATTTCAATATATTAATTCAGTGGAGCATATTTATTTTTGAGATTGTTTTCAGAAATAAAACAGTATGTATTTTGAATTAATTATACTGTTCATTTAAAGCTTTCTGTCTACTGTCTCTGTATTCCTGACTGTAGCTGATCTAAATGGCTCTTCTTTCTGAAGAAAATGGTATATTTTGGTAAAAAAAATAAAGCTGATAGTCGTTGAAAAACATTGAAAAGATCAAAGTAGGTTAACCGCCTCCCCACATTTTAAATTGGAAATGCCACCATTGTGATTTTAAGTTTTAATGTAGTTTCATAGGACTATTACCCCCTATGTTGTATCTAATGCATTACTGAATTCCCACAGTAGGAACAAGCTGTCCCCAGACATTGTTTTCTCCAGACAAAGATGCTTTTATTAGTCTTTACCCTTCATTAGAAGATAGTAACGAACCTTTCCCACAACTAATCAGCAATAGCTGTGGGAAAGGAGCTAGCTGTCACCCTCCTGGTTAATATAGCTATGTGTGGACATATTGATCCTCTTTACAGTTAACACTACTCCTGAATATGGTAAGTAAGCATACCATGAGCTATTTCATGATTACAAAAACATCAACTCTATTTGCTAAGATCAAACTCAAAGATTAACAATACCATAAAATGACAGTAGCATAAACAACACAGAACAATCACAAATTGCAGGCTCTTAAAGAAGAAATATGAGAGAGTGAAGTCAAAGGATTTGAAGATTTGAAATTCTATACAGCTAATTCTTAAAATAAAATTAATCTCAATTAATAGTTTTGATGGATTTGGAGCTCTTTCTGAAAAACATAATGAACTTCCGTTTCTCAAGTGATAAGAACACATAATGTAATTAAAAACAGTGAATTGAAATGAACAAAAGAAAATACGATCATTAATATTAGTTAATACCTGTATTAAAATGCTTCCCAATGTCTTTATTATTTAATAAATAACTTACAGTTTAAAAAAAATCCCATAAAATACATAAGATGTACATAAATAAGATATTGTCAAAATCTTATGTGCATGAATGTACCTGAATGAATATGAATATATATTTAAACATATATGAATAACAGTGTCAAATTCTTACATTGGGTAATTCTGAATGCTAGACAGGAATATTATAAAGTCCATAATGGAGAATTATGTAATAATAAGCCCGTAAGGATTTTTTTCCTACTAGCTAATCAAGAAGTATGTAATATGACAATTTATATCTTTTACATACATATGTTCCTTCTAATATTACTGAACGGGGTCTAACTTTTTACACAGCATAAATATCTAACTCCTTTCTGAATTACATGAAATGTTCTGTTGTATTGACATAATTGATATAATGTGGCAGTGGGTTCTCCTATTTAGCTGTGTAAGAAATACATCTTATGTCCATTTGAAACAATTATCTTTCAAAATTATTTCAATTTTCTTGCATTTGCATCTTCAATTTAATTTGTTGCAATACATTCTCCCCTCACAAAAAAACATTGCCTGACCACTATATACATGCTACCAAATTAAACTGGTCTAGAACTTAATTTGTATGGCAGGCTAAAATGAAGGTATGCTTTTTAGAAAATTACGTTTGTGTTTGTTAAACCCAAAGACAGGTAGATCTATGAAAAATAGGGCACCTAGTGGAGATTATGTTGCTAATTTCTTTACAAAATTTTATTTTCTCTCTGTTCTTTTCCTCACATGCATATTGTTTCTTCATTGCTTGTTATTACATCAGTCAACTGAATAAAATACTCTGGTTTATACATTTTCAACAGTCATTATAAATTTTTTTACAACTTATTCCTAACAGTGATCTTGGGTATTACCCTGACAATGTTTTTTTCATCTGTTTTGAGTTCCCTCATAAATTCCTATTCTTAATTTATGCATAAATACCTATTTTTTTCCTTTGCAGCTGAGCTCAGGGCTCTCAGTAGTACTACTAATGTATGGGGAAAAAAAGGCTAATGTGGAAGTACCACCAATGGTAAAATGTATGCAACTGATAGAAAGTAACAACCAAGGTAGCTGTCTGTCCATAAGGAATCGTTCCATTGCAAAGTCATTACAGAGTTCAGTGGAAATTAAGGGCCTATGTGCCTTCTGTTGGATTCAGTAGCATTTTGCCACTCAATACTGCTTAGTCTGGAAAAGAATCAGGTTTTTGTTACTGATTCTATCAGCAAAAAATATAATTACTGGGAAGCATGCTGCAGCCTTCTGAGGAGACTCATGCAATTATCTTAGATTAAATTAGTTTTTAATAACAACTTTATATAACACTTTTTATCTGAGGAATGTGTGTTATTTTATAACTATATAACAGCCAGATATCAGACAGTACTGTCATTCTTAGTTTACAGAAGATGAAACAAATAGAGGAAATGTGAATGACCTATAGAGCTGATGACCAAGGCAATCCAATGAACTGTGCAAAAGTAGCTATAGAAGTTTCTTGATTTCTCATTCTTACACTAAACACCAGGTAATCCATTAAAATGTTTATCCCATTGTATTAGTCTGTAAAAAGTCATATTTGACGCTGCACTTCTCCAAACATTGATTTTTTTCCGGATATGCAAAAACCCGTTCAAAATAATAACTGAAAAGGTTCTATAAAAAGGCATAAACAACATCTTACCTGGTGCTTCAGTAGCAAAGTGTGAAAGAGGCACAGTAACCCCGAGAGAACTTACAGACCATTTTTAGCTCACAGCTGTCTTCCTTTGCTGGACAGCAAGGAATTTAAACGGTAATTACATATACTTTGATTTTATTTTCGGCATGTTTTTCTGACTGCGGAGCACATAGTAGTTACTATCGAGGCAGGCTCTTTTGCTGGCAAATCCTCCCGGCAGCTCCGGCTACACGAGGCTGCTGAGTTTACGCGGTGTTGCCGAGGCAACTCCCCCCCCCGGGGGCATTTTGCTTGGAGAAGTTTAATTCAAAGAGCAGTAGAGACCTATGAAAACACACACAGTTAAAACAAACGGTAGTATTTTAAGTTCTAATCACAACACAGTCCTCCCAGCACCTAAAGCAAAGCATATTTCTCCTGTTTATCTCCGTTTATACTTTTAGTACCCTATTTCTACATAATTTTAATTTTGCATTCATCCCCTCGCCTAAACACTCCCTATTACTCATGAATAGTTTTTTATCTCCTTTTTGGCAGCCTTAAACAGCAGACTTCAAGGATATTTATTTATGTATTTATCTATTTAAAGTAGCAGGCTGTAGTAAGGCGGAGGAAAGGATTAAAGAAGTAGAGTAGGGCTCAAGTTGAAAGGGTTTTGAAGGGAGCTGGTGTGCTGGATGCCAGAAAGCACCCTGGACATGGCTGCAGGGTTGCACAAGATGTGGAGGCAGGAACGCCAGGCCTGGGGGACACCTCAGCTCCCGGCTGAATGAGAAGGGGCATCAGGGACCCGGCACAACCGGCCTAATGGCGACAAGCTGCGGCTCCAGCCACGCCTCGGTACCCCGGGCACACGGAGACCCAGCCGGTAAGTGACTTCGTTTACCCTCTCGAGCTGTCCTCGACGGACCCGGAGGGTCTCTGGGAGCAACTCGTGCCCTCAGCTTTACACCGCCGTGAAGGTGGCCGGCCCAGCGGGCGCCTCTTCGGCAGCCCCCCTCAGGCGCTTCGGCGCGCCTCGAGGGCCACCCGGGTGTCCCCTCATCACGGAGGGCTGCGGGGAAGGGTGCCCGGGGGACGGAGTGGCTGCACCGCCGCGGCGGGGAGCGGGTCCCTGAGGGAGCCCGGCGGGGAGCGGGTCCCTGAGGGAGCCCGGCGGGCCGGTCCCTGAGGGAGGAGGCGCCGGGACGGTTCGCACCTCCCTCCGCCGCTTTCCCGTGAGCCTCTGCGCTCGGGGCGGGGTGGGGGGGTCCCGGCAGCGGCGCAAGATGGCGGGGGACAGCGAAGTGAGTGTTTACCCCTCCCCTCCCCTGCGCTGTCCGCCGAGGCGGTCTCCCCGCTCACTGCTTCTCCCGCTCTCTCCCCGCAGCCCGAGTCGGAGGTGTTTGAGATCACGGACTTCACCACTGCCTCCGAGTGGGAGAGGTAGGTAGGTGGTGCTGCCGCCGGTCCCGCTTTCCCTCAGCGGCGGCCGCCGCGGGCGGGTCCCTGGGGCTGCGCCGTGTCGGCCCCGGCCCGCTCCCGCTGAGGGGAGCCGGGACCCTGCGCCGCGGCGGCCGCGCCAGCCGGTGCCCGGGGGCACCCGGAGCCTCCTCCCTCCTCTTCCAGGCGTTACCGCCGGGTCTCTGAGGCGGCGGCTCAGGCCGCAGCTGAGGAGTTGGTGCAGGCGATCTGGTCAAGCTATTTCTGAAGTGAGGGAGAGGTCTGGTTCAGTGCCTGTTCGCGAGGGATTAGAATAAACATCTAGAAGGTTTATGTGTTTTTGAAGTAGATACCTGACTATTGAAACAATCATCTTATAGCTGAAGCCTTTAAAAGTTAGTAGGACAACGTACAGGAAAGCTTAAGGTGAATAATGCTCTTGCGTTCTTAATGTATTATTTCATAAAATACATTTTTCCAATGACTGTGACCGTGATAGGAGATAGATTCTAAACATTGCATTTTAAATCTGAATTTAGTTTAGAACTTTGTGTCAGATGCTTGTTTATCTGTGAACAATGCTTTTAGTTGCTAAAAGCAACTGTCATCTGAAATATAAATGTAGGAGGATCCTTTTATTTCTACAAGGAAGCAGTTGTTCTGTTGTTATTGAGTTAGTTGTTTTTTTGTTTGTGTTTCTTTTTATTTTGTTTTTGTTTGTTTTGTTTCTTGGTTGGTTGGTTTTTTTTAAGGAATGCCTTAGTAAGACACCATATTCCCTACTTGTAGGGAGCTGAATTATAGTACAAGCTCAATGTTCATCAAATATTAATGCCTCTTCCCTTCCCCAATAGATTTATTTCAAAAATAGAGGAAGTATTGAATGACTGGAAGCTTATTGGGATTTCTTCAGGCAAAGCTCTAGAAAAGGTCAGTTACTGCATCTGCATTTTCTTTTAGAATTTGAATTACTAGCTAGTAATACACATCTATGTTATGTGTATTGCCGTTTTCTTAGGTGTGGCAGATGATGATTTGTATTGGGGAATTTTGTTTGTAAAAGTTGCAATTTGATGAACAGTTCCTGTAAACTTACTGCTGGGCTGTCTGCCAAACAGGCTATTTCCCTGATAAGGTTGGAACTTCATATAGGGCCTAGTGATTTTTTTATTCCCAGTTTAGAATCTGGAAACATGGTTGAATCTTTTAAATTCTTAAGGAGTTTGTTTTTGCCCTGCCTTGTGCCTTTGTCACTTCTCACATACTTATGGGTTGAGGTTTGTGTAGTAGTACTTGTGACTTAGTATGCTTCATAGATTGGAGAGATTATTTTCAAAGTCTAATTAGAGCCTTTGTAGTGTTTGCTCAGTCCAGTAAATTGCGGATGAAATTGTCGAGCAATTCTGCATACTAGTACAACTAAATTAATCTGTTCTGGGTTGAACGGCTGCTGTATTTCTAGAGGAATTTCATAATTCTTAATTTTAGTCAGGACACAGAGTGTTCAGAACAAAAACTTACGTTACTTAATGAACTAGTTTTCAACCTTAGCTGTTAGTGTATTCCAGCGTGTCTTTTTTTCCTCCCTTCTTGGTTTATAGTGAGAAGATACCCTTTACAGATCAAAGGGTTGCCCAAGTTGCTTTGTTTTAGTAGCATACGATTCTGTACAGTGATGTTGATTTTTTTCCTAGAAACTTTCTATGCTGTATTTTTGTTTAAAAATTAATTATCCTTACACACAGGAGTTCTGCAAATTATAGATACAAAGTCATTTATTGGTGACAGAGTATGTGAAGTAAATATTAGTGTTTGTGTAGAATGGCATAGATATAGATAAAATCCCAGGTGACAAACTTCTGTCTTTTGGGCAAAGTTGAGGGTGCATACACTTAAGATGTGTATGAGAGCATGTATATGCCTCTTTATTGCCATACAATTCTGAAGACTTCTCAGGGGGATATCTGGTCCTCGAAATGAACGTGATTATTGGCAACATGGATTTTAGCATTCAGCTACATTTATAATTAAGTGCTTTGAAAATTGTTTGTTTGTTTGTTTTAAATGAAACCATGTTTAGATATTTAAGAATAAATATTTAGCAGTAGAAAAAGATGAATAAATATTATAGATCATGTAGGCAGTATACTTTTTAAGGTTTACGAATGGTAACCTAAATTTATGTAATCAAATAATATCCTTTTTTTTTATATGCAGGGTGTATACACGACAGGAGCATGGGAAGAGAAAGCAGATGAAATTTCATTTGCAGACTTCAAATTCTCAATTACCCATCATTATCTTGTACAAGAACCCAGTGACAAAGATGGGAAAGAGGAACTGGTAGAAGGTAGCTGATAGTTCCCTTACATGCCTGTAAGGATATGACAAAAAACAATTTCAGAATGTGGAATTCACAGTGTGTTGATTTGTTTCTGTGTGAAATTTTCTGGGATTTGATGGGTGTGATCTGACATTTTTCTTTTTAGTATGCTTTGCATTCAACAAATTGCTAATATAAGTAAATTGTAAGTCAGGTGAATGGATGTACATGCTCTTATGTATCAATTTTTTTCACAGATGCCCTTCCTCTGCCTATGCAGGACTTGTTGTGCATGAACAATGACTTTCCTCCTAGAGCTCACTGTCTAGTAAGATGGTACGTATGCTGCCTCTCATCTTTAGTACAAATAAGCATAGCAATTGAAAAGTCTTTGATGTTGGGACAATCACTTGTATATCTTTTTTCAATCAAGAGTTAAAGTTTAAGTAAAATGGTTCTTTGTATTGACACTGGGAAGGAGTGCAAAACAAGCCCACCATAGTGGACTTTACTTTTTTTTTTTTCCCTCAAAATATTTTTTTTCAGAATTTCATAGACTAGAAAAGCCTTTATATTTGTAATATTTAGATACATTCTTAAAAAGAGAAGCTGCGGCACCTTAGGGAACAGCAACAATGATATTCTTAGTAATGCAAATCTTTAGCACATTATTAGCATTGCTCTGGAGAGATTGTTTTTATGTATATATAAATAATTACGATTGTTATTAACATCAAATAAAAAAATCAGGGCTGATAGACCTGGAAGTCATCACATTATTTCAAGTACAGTGTTTGAATGCTGTTAAGCTTCGGTAGTTTGTGGTTTGAGAATCTGCAACACTCCGTGCCCGCTCAGTTCTTGACCTCTCTGAAAGAGATATTTACATCAAAGTAGCAAATTCCACAGTCTGTTGGTGACAATTAGGTTATTCAGGTTACAATATTTTTATAAATTCTGTGTTTCAGCTGGCTTGCTAAAAAACAAAAATGTGTTCTTTGTGTCTCTCTCTCAAGGTATGGCTTACGTGAGTTTGTGGTTATTGCTCCAGCTGCAAATAATGATGCAGTTCTCAGCGAATCCAAATGTAACCTTTTGCTGAGTTCTGTTTCCATTGCGTTGGGGAACACTGGCTGGTAGGTGAAAGCACAAACCTTTTTGCATGTCCAGGTAAAATTCTAGCATACTGCTATTGTGAGGAAAAAGTATTAAGTTGTTAGCAAAATACATCAGAGTTTGTTGTATTTGCACCATGGTATTGTTACAGAAGGATTAAAAAAAAAAAGGGATTTCCATGGAAATTTTAAATAATTGATTCAATGTATTGTGTATATTAATCATTGTTTAAAAACTTTAAAGGCTTTTAAAAGTTGCTAGCAGTTGTTGGAATAACTGGCACACAACATACAGCTTTCAGAAGATAATTTCTTCTCTGTGTGTGGTAACTAACTTTCTAATCTTCCTCAAAAGATATTTAAACCAAAAATTATATAACTGAAGTCATTGATGGGGTGATGCTTATGACATGACAATTTGTTAGTCATTCCACTTCATGGTGAAGTTAACACTGTTTTTCTCTGATTCCTACTAGGCATTTTAAACTGTGTTCCACTAAGAGAAAATATATGAATTTATACATATGAAATTATGTTGGAATGTTTAGCTAGTTTTAAAGACTACAAGACTGCATGACACTTTAAATAATCTGTAATATTCATGTGTTATAGTCAGGTACCACTATTTGTGCAAATACATCATAAATGGAGACGAATGTATGTTGGAGAATGTCAGGGTCCAGGAGTTCGAACTGACTTTGAAATGGTTCATCTTCGCAAAGTGCCAAATCAGTATACTCATTTATCAGGATTACTGGATATATTCAAATCCAAGATTGTAAGTGCATCTGAACACATATAACTGATATTAAAAATAATTAAATAATTATTTTATTACCTGGTTGCTTGTAGATTAACTTCTGTCCTCTAGGTTTTTTGTTTTTTGTTTGTTTGTTTGTTTGGTTTTTTTGTTGTTTTTTTTTTTTTTGCAAGGATGAGGCTTACCCTGCTGATACCAACAAAGTCTTTTTCCAGATACTGCCTATATCTAGCAATAAAGAGTGAAAATTGTTATGGGTTTTGTTTCTCAGTGTTACGATCTTCTGTTTTTTATTTTCCACGGGCTTGTGAAAGAATGTGTCTGTTTTACAGTCTCCTTGTAACAACCCTCTCTTCCCCCTCCCCAAAATAAACTCTGTTTTGCTATTTAAAAGGAGAAGGGAGGTTGGGGTGGGTTTATGTTTTGATACTTTGTTGCTCCGTAAGCTAATTTAAGAGTGAAGAACAACAGTAAAAAGT